TCGGCCTCTTTTTGCCTCTAACAGAATCCTAACTGTGGTCTCCTTATTTATATATGAGACAATCTGCCTTCTCTTCAAAAATAGGGTCTTGTTTAACAACTTGGACGAGCCAATGTATCAAACCAGGCAAAGATTCAGCTTCAAATTACCGCTGCCTTCTTCGACCCTAGTTAAAGATTCCATTATTTACAATGGTCTCATCAAACAATAAAGTATATTTGAATTGAATTGAACCTCTAGCCTAAACAAACCCTACTCCAACACAACAGAACTGAAACACTCTTCTGGATGTGCGTTTTACCAACCAAATTGGCGTCATCAGGCGATGATCTATACATGTTGGTTGAAACATTGATGTAACTGTAGATGACATTTAGTTTCATTTTGTAACAGTGGTCAGAAAAATAGACACAAAAAAATCAAAATTATCTTGCACAGCTGAAATTTTACATAACAGCTTTCCACTTTTGGAATTTTTCGGAAATTTTTTATCTCAATTGATGCCAAAGTCAAATAAAGCTATCAATAAAAAAACACATCATGATGCAGACTTTACTAGTCACATTGTATATGTATACCATGAAATTTCATAATTGTATTTTATTAACTGATTCAATTAGATCTTTAGCATGACTTTTTCAAAAACGAACTTGAAGATTTTTCAGAATTTAATAAAAACTAATAATACATCAATCAAGTTGACATTTTGTAAAGATTCTTTAACACTAATCTCGTGTATAGTGGTTTTTCTGTATATTAGAGCAAATATTTTGAATTCCCTTCTTAGATCTTTACTAGAAAAGACAATACATACAAGAGAAAAAAGATGGGCCCAATGATATAGCTTCGAGGGACACCATGTAAAACAATACCTAACAAACTGGTTTCCTTTCCAAGAGAGAAAAAAATCTTTCTTTCTGACAATTTCAAAACCAAGTATGATGATCAGTTTCCTTTGTTCCTATTGACGCATTATGCTCAAAAGTATTTTGCGATCAAATGTGCCGAAAGTATTTCAAAAGCCCAGTGAAGTAAGACCCCATTTTCTGTTGAAATTTTGGTTGTATCGAATATGCCGAGTCACTATTTGTTTCCTGAAGATATTCTATCAATCTGCAACATACTGACAAAATTGAAATGGACCTATATGTCCAGATTTGAGAAGTGGTTTTATCTCGCTAAATTTTCTTGAGATGTTTTCACTTTTCAAAAAATAAGGCAAATGTTGAATCAAGTTTTATATGAAACTGAATAAATATAAAATTAATCGTTGATGATTTTCAAATAACCGTTCTGATTTTACATACTCACAGTATTCAAAATATTGAGGAGATTCTCTAGCGCTGGTAACTGAGGTATTAATTTCTGAACCACTTTCGAGAAGGCCTCAAAAATGGAATGATCGTATATAGAGGTCAGGTGAAAACTGAGGTGGATTTGATCATAACCTGAAACAGAAAATCACGCATACAAAAATGCAATTCAATCAAAAACGAACTCTGCTGTGTACCAGAATCATTTAAATCATCAGCCGTCCGCTGGTGAATATCCCGCTGGGATTCCATTTTGNATGGATTATACTCCTGCATCTGTGGTAACAAGTTTTTTATAGTTTCTTTTTTATTTTATTTCATTTTATAGTATTATAATTTTGTTATTCATTTTCTCGAATTGTAACTTTGTAATCATAAGGACCTACACTACTTTTTTTAACATACTTAGTTAACCCTGTAAATGGTTTTTAACTGTTGAGTAACAAAGGCTATTATTATTATATATACATATATACTTGTCACATAGATGGCGCTTTTTGTAAAATTCAATTGAATCGTGTATGTTTTTATTTCAGGTTTTGAAGCAAATCTGGGACTTATCGAAGTATATTTCATTTGTATTCCACCAAAAGTCGGCGAAGGCAGAGGTAAAGGCTCGAAAGAGCTTTGAAGAAGTGGATCCAGAGTATGTAGAGAAAGACGACGAGCAGGATTCTGATTACTCCGAATAACTATCCTTTTCATACTTTTTTTTCAAGATTTTCTATTGGTTGATGTTCTGTTGACCAACATGTTGTGATATATATAGAAGAAATGTAAGATGGAAACTTGACTTCAGTTTTGTTCGGTTTACTTTGCTGAATTGGGACAGTGAAGATAATTGCGCTATTCATCCAGAGATGGCGCCTATACGCAAATGAAAATTCTTTGCTTTGAAATTTTGAGAAACTTTGAATGTTTACCAGGCGTTTCGATTTGGAAATGAATATTTTTGAAAAATACGAAGGAATTGTAATTGACAGAAGAGTACAAGAGTTGCCTTTTATCTTCTTTCTTAGATATGTTGCCTACAAAATGAACATGCCAGCTCTTTGAAATTCGCTCTACTATTGGATTGCTCAAACTCAGTACAAAACGGGCACATGCGGACATAATATTCCTACATAAATTGTTGAACAACGAAATTAATTGCCCAACTCTTCTCTGTCAAGTCAATCCGCATGTTCCCCCGTAACAACCAAACTTTCAGTGTCGACTTTCATAGGTGTGATTATGAAAAACATTCTCCTTGGCCAGAATTCCATCGAATGCTAATGGGACCAATATTGATTTTTTTTCATATCTCTCAGAGCACTCTTAGATATACCCTGTGTGGTTTAGATTTATAAGACTTTTTTTAATCACAATTTTATTTTAATTTTCTCTATGTAGGTTGATTTATTAGATATGTAGATACTAGAATAGTTAACTTTCTAAGGTTAATATATTTAAAAATTGGGGGTTACCCGTTGAATAAATAAATAAATGTTTTCACAAACGACCATTGGATGCAGGACATCATAAAGAAATAAGCTGAAAACGGGCAAAAAAAATTAAATTTGGAAAAAAATTAACAGCATCAGTGTATCGATCAGTGTACAGTGTACGATAGGTTGCCTTTTGTGTTTACATGCTGCAACCATACCACTAGAACAACGCAGAACAGTCAATTATGAGTGGTACACAACCCTTTGTTTGCCAGTTGTCTTCCAAGAAATCAGGAAAACCAACCGCCGAAGACGGATCACTCTTCACCACGACAATGCGAGCTCTCACACATCGGCTCAAACAACTGCATTTTTGAGCACCCAAAACATCGATTTGATGAGTCATCCGCCGTACAGTACTGACTTGGCACCGAGTAACTATTTTTTATTCCCGCACGTAAAAAAAAACTGAGAGGTCAACGTTTTTCGACACCTGAAGAAGCAGTTGCTGCGTTCAGAATGCATGTTTTGGAGATTCCTCAATCAGAGTGGCAAAAGTGCTTCGACAATTGGTTCAAACGCATGCAAAAGTGTATAGATCTTCATGAGGAATACTTTGAAAAACAATAAAGTGATTTTCGATGAATCATATTTGTTTTTGTTCTCTGATGCCGAAATATAAAAGGCAACCCTCGACCATATAACACGTAGAATAAATATTATCCCCCTCCAGCACCTCTTCTGAATTATAAGCACCCCCTCGAAAATTTTAAATAGCAAAGGGGGTCGTGTGGCACCTTGTTGGAAAGGGATTTCAGTCTTCTGTTCAGCAATATAAAGTTTTTTAAGTTTGGTGNAATATTAAATAAAAAAAAACGTACAGATTTTGTCGAGATGTTTCCCCTTCGGGATCTCCATAATCTCACCTGCGCATCTATTACGAAAATCAAAGCCCCACATCCGCTGAATATCATGTCATAGTCGAAGGAAGCGTCAAAAAAATCAATTTGGCCTGGAAAGTCCCAAATCTGGAACTGCACGAAGCTGGAATTGTTGATGTCGTCCTTTACGATTTTGTTGGTGCTTTCCAAGAACAACGTCTCGTTCGGAGACATCTTGTGGAACACGACCTTTTGAATAGAAGATTTTCCAGACCTTCGCAATCCCATCAACAAGATTCTAGGTTTCTGGTCGCTTGACGAGGAGGTGCCTTCACTTTCACCGTCGAATAATCCGTACCCGAAATCTTTAGGGAACGAGCCTGCAGTCCCATCAAAAGTCGCCCCCTCTTCTTCATCCTGGTAGGACTTTAGAGAAAGAAAAGTATTATATTTATTGAAGTTTGCCGTGGAAAATTCACACATACCATGATTTTAATTGTTTGGTAAACACTCTAATATGAAAACGAATCTACTGCTGTATCAGTGAAACCATAACAAAAACAGAAAGTTTAGGAAGTTCAAAAAGTTATGGGATGGCACTTGACACATACCTTGTTATGACATTTGAAGTCATTACGTCACATAACAATTAACCTACAATTATCTCCTCTGTTCTGATATAATGATTAATTATTTCAAATGTCTGTATATGAGGAATCATTGCGGAAGGTGGCGGTGTCAAACTCTAGGAAAACGAATAAAGTGTCAAAATGAGTTTTTTGTATTGAATTTTGAACGTTAAAAATATAATGTCGACCGTTTTCGAGTATGATTGTAAGCTTCCATATTTTGCATATCTCCACACTAGATACGCAACATATGGAAACGTCCAGTCAAATGTGAAAACTGTTGATTTTGCACTGAACCGGTGGAGAGAGGAAAAAGTCAGGTGATGTGAGTGCGACCAGGGCCAATAATCACCCGAAAACGAGTTTGGTGCTAACAATAGAAACATCATGCAAATAACAAGATTTGGGATCTTTCTTCCTATTTTATTTTGCCGAACTTCTTATATACCTACACCAAGAAATGTCAACAACATCCAAACAAATAAATCGTTACTTATCTCAGTTCCAATTTTTTTCACTGGCAGGGCATCTGTGCCGGTGATTTTTCAGCTAATGATTCCTGAGAAATTGTTTTTCTTGAAACATATTCCAGATCTGCAATTTGATTGTTACTCAACGGATCGACATGACATTTGGATCTCTGCAACTACTAAAATTGATGTATTCTACTATTTTCATGGATAAATATTCTGATCCTGATAATTAGGAGCACTTTGAAGTAATTTTTTTAATATTTTCGATAATTCATAACGTCTGAAGATGACTGTATTTATGATTGCCGTCGGGTTTATCTGAATATTCGAAAGACAAACTAGAATGACACTGCCGTTTCAAGGAAATTATTCAAATAAAATGTCGAAACGAGCTGAAATTGTGAAGTATTCCCAATGAATCTTTTCATACATTTTTTGAAAAAATAAAGTTGTGGATTTTTCACATTCGTGGTTGTGACTTGGCTATTGAACCAACGGAATACCAGAAAATATANTTATATGAAATAACTAATGGAGTAACTTTTTATGTTACAGATATTTTTATAGATACCACAGGATTCACTTTCACTTTACCTCTGTTTAAATTTGTTGGGGGAGCCAAAACTGGGTGTTACATCCATTATCCTACAATAACTAACGAGATGTTGAAAAGAGTTTCTAATAGACACGCTCTCTACAACAACAGAGGCATTATCGCTAGAAGCCCTGTTCTGACTATGGGAAAACTACTCTACTATCATATTTTTGCATGGGTGAGTTTGCAGTTTCTTTGTATGTTCAGAAAATTTTTTGGTTTGGATTCTACCAATTTTTAATTGCCTTCACTTAGACACGTATGGATAATATCTGTTAACGGTTGAGTTATACATTCAATGGCACTCTTTATGACTAAACCATTCACACCGTTTATTTGTTCAGTTTTTTTGTTTTTTAACTTAGTTATGATTATTCTCACCTCATCCAAGAATTTCATGAAACTCATTATAAATGTTGAAAACTACCATTCGAATTCGACAGTGTGCTCATTTATCTGTTCTAGGCTTATTCTCTGGCCGGTCAATGCTCCGACATCACCCTAGTTAACTCCACATTCACCATGGAGCACCTGAACGCTCTGTGGAACCGGCCCCTCCACTTGGTGTATCCCCCTTGCGAGACTGATCATTTGAAGAAATTGCCCCGCCAAACGACTTGTCCCGAAAAGATCCGCATAATGTCTTTGGCCCAGTTCAGGCCTGAAAAGGACCACCCGCTTCAGTTACAGGCTATGTACGAGCTGCGCGAGATCGTCCCCGAAGAAGTCTTCGGTAACATCACGTTGGTGTTGTGTGGCAGTTGCAGGAATGAGGAAGACAGGAGGAGGGTGAAGGACTTGCAGGACTTCAGCAAGCATTTGAGTTTGGAGAATAACGTTGGTGAGTAGTTCAAGAGCTGAATTATAATAATAAATGATCTTTATTTTTACTCAACCACGTTTAGTCTCTGGCAACATTGCTTGTGAATCGTGAAGGGTTGGGTCTGCGCTCAGCATCATCGCTGACTTTACCAGCATTTATGTCTTCCATCAACAGTGTTTTGCAATTGATAGAAATGATACTTCCAATCTCCTTTACCAAAATAATAGACAATTTAGCCATCGATGACGAATCTATTTGGTGTTCTCAAACCAAAAGTTATGTGCCTAAGGATCTCAAATCACTTCAGAAAGCATGGGACGAACCTTTACTACAAATTATTTCTGACTCAATCAATTTATCTTTGTCATCTCCTTCCGAGAAGGCAATTGGACTTGTATTTTCGAAAGCAAGTTGGGACTGTTTAGTTTTTAATTGATCATTTTATGAAGAAAAAAAAACATCTCTGTGACTACTTCTGGGAGAAAGTGAGGACCAATTAATGAACTGCCTAATAATTGAATGGCAATCACTAACTATTCGGATAGATCATTTGAAAAGGTTGCAATCAATAAAGAAGAAAGAACAAAGTCTTGAGAAACCCTTAACCTAACGTGCGTTCATTGAACTTTGAATTCCCTTCCTCCACAACTATGCTACAACCATTAAAGTATGACTCAAACCCCAGTAGCATACTTGTGAAGCACTGTTTGGAATCTTGTGTGTAGTAATGAATGTCACTGGAGTTTTTTCCCAACACCAAACCGTTATTTTTAACACCTTGACACGTGTTTCGATCACCAAGTGATCATCTTCAATACCCAGAGCATGTTGTTTGACAAACCTAGTACACTGATTCAGTCGAAAGAAAATCAGGACAGGTCAAAAACACACCGATTTTGATTATTCTACGAAACTCAACAATATCTGTACGGGTGGCGTCAATGTGTTGATCGGTTTACGGGTTTTGCCGTAGTCTTTTTTTGTTATAATCTCCAAACGTCTTCAAAGCAACCAAGAAAATATCAGAGTTTTTGAGATCAGCAAAAGACAGCAGAGACCCACTCAAATCAGCGGGAGTTAACATTTAACTGTGGTAAAATCTATATCGGTCAGACGAAAAGAAGCATTGGTACCCGCCTAGTCGAGCACAAGCGGAGTTGCCGATTGGCCAGACTGAGAAATCTGCAGTCGCTGAAACATGCACTGTCCAATGGGAAACACAAGATCCTGTTCGAAAATAGAGAGAGGCTAGCAATGTCAAATCATTATTCAACAAGAATGTATTTAGAAGCCATAGAAATACACCAACACCAAGAGAACTTCAACAGAAAGGAAGAGAGAACATATCTACCAAAGATCTGGCACACAGCTTTGGAAGGCGCAAAACGAAGCCGTGTCAGCCAAATGGGCTTGTTTCATGCTATGGAAAATGATACTAGTTTGTTTGTAGACTGATCGAGTTAGGGGTATATTAAACTTATCAAGCCTCATCTTACATTTTATTCCATGTGGAAAAATTTTTATTAATTGAAACGTTGACGGGTTCATATACACTTCCATAATTGAATTCATAATTACAGGCTTCGTAAATTTTACTATTTGGCAATGTTGATTATTTCTATTGTTCCTATTGGTCAATCGAACAAGAAGCGGGAATAGGCCCGTGACATCACTGCCCTATCGCATTCGATTTTTAATAATTAATTACGGGAAACCTACGGCACTTAGAGAGCTGAAATAATGAGCCCTGTTTTTCAATTTGAAATTTTTATCAAGTAAATCATAAACCAAAAATCATGAAACAAGCCCAATAAATGACACGGCAAAAATGAGAGCTTCAGTTTCAGTTGACACGTCATGAAGATGACTGCCGCGTTGCAGTTGAAACGTTTGAAGATTATAACCAAAGAAGACCACGGCAAAACCTGGAAACCAACAAAAACAATATCTGTACTTTTTGTTTTTAATCCCTCTTTCGAAACTTTCAGAGTTCAAGGTGAACGTTTCCTACGAAGATCTCCTCCAGGAGTTCCAGAAAGCCTACATCGGCATTCACACCATGCTCGACGAGCATTTCGGCATCAGTGTCGTCGAACAGATGGCCGCAGGACTCATCATGGTGGCGCACAGGTCAGGAGGGCCCCTTCTTGACATCATCGAGACGTCGGAAGGGTCTCGCCTGGGCTTCCTGGCGCAGACCGCCGAAGAGTTCGCTCACATCTTCAAGTTTATATTGCAGCTCAGCGACGAGGAGGTGAACGAGATCAGAGAGAGGGCCAGGGCTTCGGTGGAGAGGTTCAGCAACGGGAAGTTCAAGGAGGAGTTTTTGAGGGCCGTCGAACCCCTTTTCAAGTAAGCTTCTGAAGACTTGGTAGATGTAAGTGTACAGTGACGAGAATAAATGTTTTGTTTTCGAAAAGTTTGGTTTTATTCGGGAAGGTTTTTCCGATAGAAGTTCACGAGGATCGAGAGTAAGGAAGATGGAAACTTGACTTCAGTTTTGTTCGGTTTACTTTGCTGAATTGGGACAGTGAAGATAATTGCGCTATTCATCCAGAGATGGCGCCTATACACAAATGAAAATTCTCACACTTCGGCTCAAACAACTGCATTTTTGAGCACCCAAAACATCGATTTGATGAGTCATCCGCCGTACAGTACTGACTTGGCACCGAATGACTATTTTTTATTCCCGCACGTAAAAAACAAACTGAGAGGTCAACGGTTCTCGACACCTGAAGAAGCAGTTGCTGCATTCAGATTGCATGTTTTGGAGATTCCTCAATCAGAGTGGCAAAAGTGCTTCGACAATTGGTTCAAATGCATGCAAAAGTGTATAGATCTTCATGAGGAATATTTTGAAAAACAATAAAGTGCTTTTCGATGAATCATATTTGTTTTTGTTCTCTAATCCCGAAATATAAAAAACAACCCTCGACCATATAACACGTAGAATAAATATTATCCCCCTCCAGCACCTCTTCTAAATTATAAGCACCCCCTCGAAAATTTTAAATAGCAAAGGGGGTCGTGTGGCACCTTGTTGGAAAGGGATTTCAGTCTTCTGTTCAGCAATATAAATAACTCATCACCGCAATAAATATTTACAACAGCGAAAATATCACAATTTTTTCGAGAAAATTCCGTCAATTCCCCTGTACCGGGAACGCTCAGTTCTAAATTACAAGTTGGGGATTTCAACTTTGGACATACGGTACTGCTTTAAATCCTCGTCCAAGGGAAGAGGGTGGTTGTCTTTGACGGGGGTACCATCGGGGTACACCTTGACAACCATGGGTCCAGTGAGAGGAGCTTCATCGTACATTCCCTCCTCATAAGGATCTTCCAATGGTGTTTCTTCTGTTGTTGTGGTGGTACTGCTGTATTGTTCCTGGAATCTGGTGTAAGCCCCTTTTTTTTGGGGAATGTTGAACGTGTTCAAATAGCTGACTACGTTGTGAGGGTAGGTGTATCGCTGTTGGGTTTCGTATTGCTTCAAAAACCCCTTGGGGGGCAATACTCTCACTACGTTGTCGATTCTAGCTGATGCAGCGCTCTGAGAGCCGAAGTCGCTGAAAGAGCCGTCTTCGTAGCTGTTGGGTTTGGCAGAGGTTGTCGAACGCATCTTCGGTACTTCGTTCGCCATTTTGTGGCCGGCCATCATGGCATCCCAAACTGAAAATAAAAACTATCGTTAGAGATGTGTTTCTCAAAATCTAATATGAAAACGGGGTTTACTGCTTTTTCGAATGACGTCACTATTCTTCTGATAAAAAAATGACAGATATGGCATTTGCTGGTTGGTATAGAACTATGTGTTCTATACCTAATACATTTAACGTAATTGGGTCAAAGAACTAGAAGTGGAGCCCTAAATAAAGAAAGGAAGAAGAAGACTTTGGGCACTTTCGTCTAACATTTAGCCAGCGTCTACATTTGTTAAATTCGTGGGTACTATACATTCGGATAAAAAGTGTTTTTTTTGAATGATGCGACGAGTAGCTGATAAATCTTTTAAAGAAAATAGGTTTGCGACCGGCGATACTAGGGCGGAAATATAGAGTAGTAATGTGACTAATCCTGCAGCCTAGTTAGAGCTGATTTCTCAGAGTCTTAACAGAAATGGTTGTTAACGTTATATAGGTTTTACTATTTTTGAAATATGTGGGAAAGGTTATCATTGTGTCAAAGTGAAATATTTTCCTAAATACTTACTTATGGTATTGGCCCCTCTTTGGTAGGGGTCCATGGAATCCATGTATTCTTCAGGTAGATTTTTCAGCTTGTCTAGACCATATTTCAACAACTCTTGGTTGCAATTTTTCATGTTGGATGAATCGCAAAAGCTCTCCACTTGATTTGCAAACATTGAGTACAAGAAGGACATCTGAAAGCAAAGAAAAAGAATTGTAATAAATGAATGAATAACCAAATAAATAAATAAAATAAATTTTGTAAATTCGTTTTGGTAAGTTACATATTTTATGAAAATGTTGAGTATCTACCGTCGATAACTGAGAGTCCACAAGAATACCGAAAGTAATATTCTAGATTTTTAATTCTGTTGATTTTACAGATACTTTGAGTGAATGGAAAAGTGTCACTGCTGAATATTTATTAGATCAAGAATAAATTGATTTACCCAGTTATTTAATAGTACCGTTTATCGTTATTCAATAAAATGAATAATAATTTCTTATGTAATATTTTTCAGAGGCAGTACAGATAAATGTGTAACTGTATGCGTTTGATAACTGTTATTTCGAAAGACATTTATTGCAGTTGATACATTTTTTCAGTTTAAGATAATTAAAATGCATAATTTATTGTTTTTCTTCTGCAAGGCGCAGAGATATTCGAACAAATCAGCATGACGTTATTTTAAGTGTTCGTTAGGTCGAATAATCTATTAAAAGTAAGAAAGTTGTGTTATTTTTCTGGCATGCGTTATTTTGAATATTTTTATCTGATGTTTTGAACCCGATATTTATTTCCATTTGCTACAAATAGGTAAACAAGTTGGAATAAGATACAATCTATTCTTGGTAGAATGATGTTTAAAAAAATGGCTGAGTTGCTAACAATTTCATTTTTGACCTTTACAGCCGGTAAAAAATTAGGAACAATATGAAAAATACTTCACAAAACTACACCAATAAATTGTTTGCTGGGTTATCTCAACATTTTAAAAATAGGATATAAAAAGGACGTTTTATACCAAAAATTAATTTGAATTTTTCAGTTAATATATACTAACGCGAATAATTATTGTAAACAAAAGTTTTTTCCAAACCTTGAAATATTATTTATGACTAGTGATGATCCAACGAATATTTTGTCGCCAAAGTTAATGTTAGACGTTTCGTCAGATCACTGATAATTTTTTATCAATATTTTCGCGAAATTCTCGAGCTCGTCTATTAAAATAGTTTACGCAGCGAATCACTGTAATCAAAGGAAGGCATTGTGCTTTCCAAGTCTCAATGACCTCGATTTCAATTATAGAGTTACTCTTAAGTTCCCAGGCTTTCTATATTAAGACCGCGGGCATAACGAACCGGAAACTTGTGCTCTGAATGTTGAAAATCTGGCCCGAAAGACCCAATTATTTGAACCGCCGAAAATCCACAAGTATTTTCAAGTAGGACGGAAGGAAACAAAAACTCACTTTTTCTTGCTTGCTCAGATACTCCCACATTGGAATAGCGGATGCTTCGCTCCTTCCGAAAAACACAAAAACACACAAAATAAGTCCGTAACCGAACATTTTCAACACGTGAATATTGCAAAGTGTAGCAAAAGGTATTCGAGAATGTCACTACCGTCTTCTGTTCTGCTTTCACTAGCTCGCAACTGAGAACTGTTTGACGATGAGAGGTGAGCGTTTGTTTTATAGAAGTTGGCTGACGTCACTTTCCGGAATTCCAAATACGAGATGAGTCCGTTTTTTGCTTCAGATGAATAAATCAGATACGCCGGTCCGATGTTATTTTTCGGTATGATAATTTTTCGTAGGTAATATGGTAAAGATTGGCGTTCTTATAATTGCTTTTGGTGTGGTTTCCCAGGATTTTGATCTTTGGAGGTAATTAAACATTCCTTCAAAATTTTTAAGAAGGTTTTCTTGAGATTATTCATTCAGAGTTATTTCTTATGAATCTTCATCATAATTATTAATTAGTGCTTTTGGGACAGTATTCCATGAAAACGAAAGTTTCTTAATATCCAAAAATGAGCTATCAACTATAAAAATAACTTTTAGATACGTTGACGCATGATAGTTCAAAAATACTACTTCAAAACAACTTTAAGGTAAGACTAATTCCCAAAAATCAATAGGCTTTTCTACCTAACTCTTTTCAAAAACATTTACCACTGTTAATTTTCGAGTGGGACAAGATATCCGAATTGCACAAAATTTGTATGAAAAGGAATAATTTTTAGTACTTTTTAATGAAAAAAGCCAATGTCAAACCAAGTCAAACAAAAAGTATAGTTTGAAAAAGCAGAAAACAACAAAAATATAAACAGCTGCTCAATCTTCCGCTGACATGTTCATCAAATCTCTAAATAACATTACTCAAAATGCTACTACAAAATCTCAAAGTAAATTACTCTAGTTAGATAAAATGTCGAAAACAGCAAAAATATAAACAGCTGCTCAATCTTCCGCTGACATGTTCATCAAATCTCTAAATAACATTACTCAAAATGCTACTACAAAATCTCAAAGTAAATGTTCTGTGGCCAATTCAATGTTCTCAGCTCCTTCAGATGTTCATGAAAATATCCTATCAGTCTCTTGCAGAAACTTTATATTCCATGCTCAGTTCTCAGATATTTTGCAGAATTTTTAGTCACGCCAATATGCTATCTTTTGAATTACTCCTTCTGGATGTTTTCCAACGTCGTTGAAACTATATGAGGCGTTTTGTGGCGCTCATATATTCAAAACGTATTCGTTTGTGATTCAAATACATTCATTCTGGGGTTGGAACGATGACGTCACGTCAACTATGAACTGAAACGTATCCATGATGATAGCGTAAGGTTGGTTTTGAAACGGGATTTGACGTAACGTCACGTCAGTAGTCACTTTCTGTTTTATTTTGATCGTTATAGTTTATAAAGTGCTGAAAATATTTTACCAAATACGATGTGAGGATGTACAATATAAAGCTGTATGCACAAATCCGATTCTAATGGAGATGAGAGAAGAGAGTTTGTTTTTATTATTAGATATGACATCTGACACAAATTGAATCACTCCATTCAGGCGAATCTTATTATTAATGACGTCACTACGACTCGTTTTTGAAGTACGTTATGAAAAAGTGCGTTATGATGAAGTATATTATGATGGATTACGTTATGAAACTGTTCATTATGCCGCTGTACGTTTCTATCATGTACTATATGAGCAGTGGAGGTAGTAATTAAAAAATATAAAAATCAGAAATAGCTTTACTACTTGACAATCAATCTACGAGGCTCTTCACGAAATATTTTCAAAACTTCTCGTACAATTTCACATTTTTTTTCATCGTATACTACTGCAACCATGTTTTTACACGTCGCAACGTCGAAAAATACCTTTCTATATTGCTCGTTGTACACGTCTCCTGTGACAGATCTGTGGTCTAATTTTTCTAAATCTTCACTTTGTTTACCTTTATCTTTCTACAATTTATAATTAAATTGTAATTAAATTCGCTTCACGTTCAAAAAGAGATATATCATGATACTGGCAGAAATCTTGTGATCAACCAGTATTATATTTGACCTTTACCAGGTATGTAAACTAAACGCTGGTAATTGTTGGTTACAAAAACGTTGTTCGAGTGCGGATATCTAAATCACAGATCTGTGTCTAAAAAAGGAAGATATCTGGGTGGATGGTGGATGGCGACCTGCAGTGATCAGAATTTACAAATCAGTTCCAAAATGGCAGCCGATGTTCTATGTGAAATGTCTAAAATATTTTGATGAAGGTTTGATTAATACAACACACTTTTTAAGATTTCCATCATTTTTCATATCTGATATAAATATAATAATAGTTAATATAATTCGATATAAACATAATCTGATATCTATAAAACATGAGAATTTCTCATTTACTTTCATTGCACCCTGTTTTTCATTTTGTTTTTAAACCGTCTCAATATCTGAAACGATCATTATGTTAATTCATCATTATATTATATAAATATGTCTATACATATTTCCGAACTGACATCATCACCTCTGCTTCTAATTCCCATGACTAATCGCATCAATTTCATTCAATCAAATCGAAACCAATCTCCTAATTCAGTTATTTTTCTGACGAACAAATCAAGACGATCAAAATGGCATTCCTTGCCTCGCATGCGAGTCATCATCTCGAATAGAACTTGATCGTTTGTGTAAACATTTTAAGATCTAAAGAATTTCTTTGGAAACCATTACCAGATCCTGATCGACCATTTAATCATGTTTGTCCAAAACAAGCGCCTATAACGTCAACTGTAAATGGACACTACGAAAAATTATAAAAGGAACACATTATGTGCAAAAATAGTTCGCAAATTTAATGAATTCCGTGAATATGTTTAAAATATGTTTCGTTAACCAGTTATCGCACCCCTACGATCGAACGACAACCCTCAAAAGTTGAAACTTGTGCGAGCTAACGATTAACGAGGTCTTACCTTTAGCCTTGTGTATTTAAAGGGGTTGCGACACCTAATAGTAAACGATTAGATACCCCATTGGCGGTGTCCCCACCTTGTAAAATGGTGGTGGAGCTTACGTAATTTTACGATCCCGAGAGGCATGCCGAGGATAGCTCAGCTTTTGGTAGGACTTCCCAAGTCGGGTGGTTCGGGGAAAAAAGTCAGACAAAGAAGGGTATATAATAAGGCCGCGGCAACTGAAATGGGGTATACTCCAGCGTTGTGCCGGCGAAAAAATGGTGCCTGGGTTTTTTTATATGATCCACCAACGGAGCCTCTGGGATATCAGACGACCTCTCAGAGTATTTATCCTTATATCCATGAAGTAGGTTCATGCATGTGGACTATTCTTCTTCCCATACTTGTGAGAAATTGATGGACCACGTCCAGAGATTGAACAGGAATGTTTCCTGGTGGAATAAAGACAACACACATACCTTTGAAGGGCAAGGAAAATAGGAATCTGGGATCAACGCAAAAGGCCCATAACTGAAAATAGAAAATCTAAGAGACACTAATGGTCGAGGAGTCAGGCACTAGGTCACTGACTCCAGGGGAATAGCCGAGGAGGTCAGACCAGCCTCTCGAGGACGCTTATCCCAAGACCGATGTGCGCTATGAGCCATAGCACCCTGCACGAGGTGGCCCTGCATAGCAGTGTACTCTCAATGCTCTGGCAGAGAGAGGGGCTGTGAACCAAACACAACGGATCTGAACAAGGCAAGTTGACAAAATCCCCCCAAGTCAAGGTGTGAGTTACCGTGCTGATGACTGAATGGCAGCGAGGTAAGCTGTCGAAAAACGGTACCTCTGAGACACCAGGGTCGCATCACAGAGTATCAAGACCTTACCGCGGCATACGGGGCTCTGTCGCGGCGCACTAAGTTTCCCTAGCTACTCGTGGGATTCACATGGATTACAAAAAAAGTACTTAGAGGGCTGAAGCCACCAGTACTGCACGGGGTAGAAATTCCAATTGCACAAGAGGCAAAATACTTGGGAGTCATTTTTGACAACAAGTTGACAAGGAATCAACACCTACAACTCTAGCATACATGAGGGCACACGCAATAGACCTGCAAAGGTCGCAGTGTAGTGGCTGTCCAGCACAAAAGCCCCATATTGATCTAATCTAGTGGTCCTCAAGTTTCAATAATGAATCTAAAAGCAAATATACTCGAAGTAACTGGTATTGTGCATACTCAAAGTGTCGGCGTTTTCAAAAGTCAAAAAAAAACAGAGGAATAGAGCCGCTGCCAACTAGTCCACGTGGACTGAAGAATTGGCGGTTCGTATTGGACGATTTTTACTAATCAAGTGTTGTGATTGGCTGAAGAGTCATAAAATTAAATTTGAAGTCATGTTACAGTGACGCATAGAATGCGAGGATGCTTATCGCCGTCGTGTCGTCAATGTTCAGTTCAGGAACTGATCACGATTTGAGTCTTGAAATTCGATATTGGTGCAGTTATAATTACTTAAAATTTTTGTTATCTGTTTAAAATGTGGCGTCCTTGGACAAGTACTTATAGCAATAACGAGTGTGATGATAATGCAGACTTTTTCCTGTGTAGTGATTCCAATAGCGATGGTGAACAATACGAAAAAGAGATACCAGTGAATATGATTCGGATGCATTTGAATATTGAAACACAAAGAGTATGTTTCAATGTATATAGGAATCTACATCTCACGTTGGGTTTCGAGGGAAACAAACTATTACAAGCAACATTAGATTCGATCGAAATACCCTTCTCAACTGTACGTAAAATAGTCAAAAACAAACCTCATGAACGTAAGAGCGATGTGATACGGGATAACCAAAACCTTTAGATATTCATCTAATAAAATCATTGAAAAAAAACAATATACGACTGTTACGAAAGAAATGAGATTCCTACAACTGAAATCATAAGGAAGAAATTGAATTCTTCCGGCCATAACGTGAGCTGCTGTGACAAAACTCTAAGAATTTGATAAAGAAACTAGGATTTAGATTTAAAATAATAAACAAACCATATAAGCAGAAGAGTAGTGGAATACTTAGAACAAATAACTAAATATAGACAAGAACAACGACAAATTTTCTGTTTGGATAAAACTTGGTATGACTCTCACGGCACAGTTACGAAAGGATGAACTGATGGTTCGAGAATGTGTACGCCTA